ATAGTCTGAATCTTTGTCACTAGGACTAACTATAAACTCATTTCGTAGTGTTTTTGAAAGCTTATCAAAGTTTATGGTAACGTTCATCTATGCTAGTGGTAATCTGATCAATTACTCTACGGAAAACATCCATTCTGAAACGATCAAGAGGATTCTCTAGTATGTCATCAAAGGCGAGTTTCCCTGCCATACGTATTATTCGATGAACTTCTTCTACACGCAATTCTGTTTCATCTTCTAAATCAAGTTCACTAGCATTTAGGAGGGTGTTGATTTCTTTAACAAATGCAATTGTCTTGGAATGGACATCTTCGAACAATATTGTCAGCAATTCTTGTTTTGCTGACTCTACCATATTCCAAGCTCTTAAATAATCCAAACCTCTTGTTTGCAAAAATTTGGATGCTTGTCGCAAAACGATGTACACACGTAGAAGAAGAAAGGCTGCAAGAAGCACATTGAATTGACATCATTTGTGATGCAGTGCTGTGACTTCGAATGTTGATTTTGCATCAAATCTTGAAGACATCCTAATACAATTAAAAACTTGAAAAAGAGCATTGAACAAATCCACTTGTGGAGCATTATAAGTTCCAAAAATTTGTTCAAGCGCCATCTGCTTTGACCACCAACGTGTTTCACCAATTTTTTGCAGTCTTTTTAGTTTTGCAGATCCAACTCCTTGTCCAATGTGAATATCCGTCCAAACGTTCAATCGTTTGCAAGAATCGCCAAATTAAGTTGCTGTACTTTGTGTTCATGCTGTTAAGTTAAGTTGCTGTACTCTCTGTACCATTGTGTTCAAGCTCTGATTTCAATAGTTGGTATAGTCCTGCACCTGTTGCATCAGTGATTTTTTTAACCGCAAATAATCGCTCTATCACGTCTTCTCCAAGTACATATCGTAAGATTATTGTCTCCTGATCAATCACCGACTTATCTTGATTACCATCCATTTGAACACGGAATTTCTGATCACCAATTTCCTTGATTATATAATTCTTCATCAAGTTTGAAATAGCAACTAGAATATTGTTAACTGTAGTCTTTGACAACATTGTTACCAAGCCTCCATTTCCGCGGGAGCTTCCAAAATCCTAATAAGACTTTTAATCAAAACACATTTTGTTTCTCAAAGTGTTTTAGAGTTAGCTGCTTTCTCAGCAGTTATATCTTTTAATGGATGTTACGTTTCGCATAACGAAACATTTCAACAACTTGGATTTCATTGTGGAAATCATTTCCTTCTCGGTGTAATTAAAAAGGACAAAAATCGTATCATTCATATGGAAAGGAAGGAAAAATAAGTAACAAAATCAAGGAGGAAAAAATTTAGAGGTATAAGAAAAGGGTTTAGCAAGGATGACTCCTATGTGTCTGGAAATTTTTAAAGTTATATATTGTTAAAGTTGTTTTATTTTGTTTTCTTGCGTCTTTTCTGTTAACAAATTTTTAAACTTTGAACAAAATTATCCTCTAGTTAGCTGTTGCCGAGATATTAACATTGGCAGCACAAATTTTACATAAAAATTAAAAATTATTGTTTAAAGTGCAGCCATTTTGATTCTGTAAAAGTTCTGATGGTGATTCTGGTCAATCCCTCAATCAACATGTTGTTAACCTTTTTGCAAAATTTTAGCCTCACACATTGACTATTCCATGAGAAATCCTTGTTTACTCAATGGTTTTATAGTTATTAATTATGTGTAACATGTGGTATTATGGAGATATACAACTTATGATTTGGCGGTGGGGGGGGGGGGGGCGCCAAGGATGGTGGGGCGCACCGGGAAATTTCCCGCTTTCCCGGTGGGCCAGTCCGCGCCTGTAACCGAGCTTTAGTAAATAATAAATTATTGTTAATTAGTAATCCTTGTTTTAAAATGTTTTAAGCATTGTTGAATGGATAATTTTTGATATCGTTGTATGTTTATATTGTATGTACGTTAATAAGCATGTCGAAATTTAGCATTAATAAAAAATTAACGACATAAATTCCGTATAAAAGTTATCTTTACTTTATTATAAACAAGTTGGCGGTTAATTTACGCAAAAAAGTTGTATAGAATATAAATTTAAAAGTCAAAAAAAGTAAAGAAGGGATTAAGATTAATCTTTACATTATTTTGCATTATGTTGTTGTTAGATCAATTTTAAACACAACATGTTTTTAGCATTTTTTTTATCAATTCTTGAAAACTTCATGGTTCTATCATATCCCCTTCTTCGCGTAATCTCTTAACTTTTTTATAACCACTCCTTCACGTAATATAATCTGTCTTAATGCTTTAATAACCACTTCTTCACGTAATACAATCTGTCTTAATGCTTTAATAGTCACTTCTTCGCGTGACATATTCTTTCTTAACTCTTTTATAACCACTTTTTTAGGTGACACAATCTTTATATATCTTGTACAGCTGACCTTATAACATTCTTTATTATCAAAATTTCTCAAAGGATTTTCTCTTATTTTTCGCAATGTTATCACCTCATTCAACTTAACTGCCGATGCGATTGTTTTTTTTTGACGTCAGAGCGACTAAATGAGCGACCGTTATGGAAAATATTGCTATGTTTTCTTTCATCTTTCTATGTAAGAATCTTATGTAGGTTAAACCACTTTGTAAAAATTATTTTATTAAAATTTTTGGAGTATTCCGGATTATCGGAGATTCCGATTCAAAGAAACCACATTATTATTTTAAGACATATCAGCTTTTTATACAGCTGTTTAATCTAATTCTATTTATCTCAGACATATTATCTTTTGCCAACTTGTTTCAAAAGTTTGAAAAGAAATATTAGGTAACCATTTTTTAAAAAAAAGCATATTATAAATAAATATAAAATAAATATTTACATAATTGTCTAGCATTCATTGGTTCTATGGTGTAATGGTTAGCACTCTGGACTTTGAATCCAGCGATCCGAGTTCAAATCTCGGTAGGACCTTACTTTTTAAAAATTGTTTTTTACCTTTTTAAAATGCAAACAAACTTTTTAAAACAAAGAATTTTTTTAACTCATCCATGAAAATACTTCCATTACAAGTTCAGGCACGTACTTCGATGGTTACAAGCATACTCCCGAGAAGACTTAAAACTGCTTTGATGCTTGATTATCTTTTTTCTATTTTATACTTTCATGATGTAAGTAATAATAGCTGGTAATTTAAACACATAGTGCAGCAAATAAACAAATTTGATTTCAAATATTTTTTTTCCAATAACGCGGTAATCGAAGTCTTCCATAAATTGCGTCACGCTCTTGGAGAAAGGCAGAGATTAGCGGTTTTTTGTATTTGTACGGGTTTCGTAATTAAAGAATTACGATGTGGTAACGAGGGTGGAAGGGGACGTAAAATGGCAAAAACTGAGCGTAATTTCTTGACGACTTTCAAAGAATTTAAAGTTCCAACATTAAAATATCGTTAAAAATGAGGTCCTACCGAGATTTGAACTCGGATCGCTGGATTCAAAGTCCAGAGTGCTAACCATTACACCATAGAACCGGCTACCTTGTTCAATTTTAAAATATTAAAATTTTGTTTAACTTTCGTAAGGTTTTCTTAGAACTTATTAAGATATAGATTAATAATTATAAACGTATTTCAAAACAATAATTTTGATATATTATACAAAAAATTGTTGGAAAGATCAGCGACCCCCTCAAATTGAGGGGGTTTAAACTTTATATGATAATAATTTTTGAACACTAAAATATTTTACTATAAAATTTAAAGTTTCTTGATAAATAAAAATTTAGTTAAAAATTGTACAAACAATATTTCATCAACTTGTTGCTCTCACGTTTGAGGCAGGGGGGCTAAGATTTTGGGGTTTTTTGTTCCCACTCTTCTATCACAGTAATATTTTTTTTTTTTTTAATTCTTTTTGTCATACATATGAACGTAAAAAAAATTGGAATATTCTTGTTGTTTATAACTTGGTTATTTTAAACATTTAAAAACCTTCCTATGCCACTGCGCCTAAATTTAATTTATTTTAATAATATATTAGTTTTAATATTATGACTGAATATTGTAAGGTGAACATTTTATACGTTAGCTAGTTTATCCAATACTTAGTTTAAAATATCGTTAACAAGTAAAGCAATACTTAGTTTAAAACATCACCAAAATAAATAAACCATTATGAATATGATTTTCTTTAGATTAGATAGATTAAAATTAAAATGACGAATAACAGCAAACTCTTATCAAGAAGATAAAACGCATCAAAGAAAATGACTGATACTTACCATATTTTTTTTGCGGAGTTTGTACGTACTGAAAACAATAGTCCACCAAGTGAATTACCAACTTTTGACTCTTCAGTAGATGATTCTGTTGCTGATCCAAATAAAAATCTCTGAAATAACAAATATTTAATAGATAGCTTTCATTCAATCAATAGACAGCAATAACGATTTTTTTTTTATAAAAGAAATTTGAAACCTGAAGTAGCACTTGAATCTAGGTAAAGGAAACAAAAAACAGAACAAATATCTTCAAAAAGATTTAGGAATAAGAATTTGAGAGTGCTAAATCATGAATACACAGGTTTTAGAAAGACTTGTGGGGAAAATTTTTTACAAGACGTTGTAAGACCTACGCGAAAACTTGGAGAGGCTTGTAAGTCAAACAAATGCTTACAAAATAATGTGATTAACTACAAAAAGTTTACAGAAAGTGTAAGATTAGATATTTTTAAAAAATTTTGGGAGATGAGCTGAGTAGTAAGAGATTGCCGGTTCTGGGCCATTTTCATTTTTAACCATATTTTCAACCATAAATTAATATTAATATAGAGTTCAATGTTAACCATATTGTATATAATTTATTTCGATAAGAAATAATTTTTCAAATTTATATAAATTTGAAAAATCAATTTTTTTAAAATAAGTGTTAATTTTTATTTCTTGTTACAAAATGTTACGAAAATTTCTTGCATGACGTCACAGGTCATGTGATTTGATTGATCAGTTAATAAAGAGATCTAATGTATATATTGAAGTTTGCTTCCATCAGCATTAAGTTGTCCTATTCGATCAGACAATATAACTGCATATGCCATAGTATTTGCTGGAACAGCTGTATTAAATGTTGCGTTAAATTGCACATCTATTATTGATGGTTTTGTAACTTCCATTTGTTTACTTACATCAAAAACAAAAAGTGGATATAAATTTTTATAGTCTTGTGGATTTATGCTGCATTGTGAAATAAATTCATTCAATCCATATAACTTTTCAGTAAATAGAGTTGCATCTCTATAAGCTCTTGAGAATTGTTGATCTGGAAATGATAGATTATAATTAACAATTTCAGGACAACTTCGTGAATTAAGTTTTATGTACATATTTTTCAAGTCACAATGATCAAATATTGCAGGATTTTGTTCTTGATTGTTATTTTTATTTGTTTGGAATCCGATAATAATAAATCTAGGTTTTGTACTAGTTGTTGTTATATTCAGCGTCCAATTAAAATCAGTAACTGGATCAACATTTTTTGATTCACATTGCCTTCCAATATAAGATAATGGAAGTGTTTTTTTTGATTTAATTATGTCTTTAAGTATTTTTTCATATTCAAGAGATGGCGTAACATGTGGCATAAAAAGTGATACTTTAGTAAGATTGACTTGCCCAACAGCTGCACCTGTGCCTCTAAAAATTGCATTATTATCACTTTCTCTAATTAGAGTAAGTGTATGTTTTAATCCAAAAACAACTTTATCATAAGTATCACAGAATCCAAAAATATGTTTTAGAGGTACGCAAAAGGAAAATTTTCCTTTTGTGTTTGGCTCTTGAATTAAATAAGATTGTCTTGCTTGAAATCCTAGATTTGTTGCAATCGCTGCAGTCGTTGATGAATCTCTAAACCATAATTGGTTCATACCTTGGACATTTTGAAAGTAATTAGGATATTTGAGTAATCCTAACATTGTAGTTGCTCTACCTAAATAATTAATATTTTCTATACTTTGACCAGATAATTGATATTCTGCTCTAGTAAATAAGTACATAAGACCATTGTTTATAAGTGTTACGGCATCTGCATTAGCATAAGATGTTCCATCTGCTTTTAGTAGTCTTCCTTCAATCAAAATATAAGCTTCAGATGGAAGTGTAAACAAGCTTTCCTCATTAATAGTTATACTTATTTCAGTACCAGGGTTATCAAAATTTGCAATTTTAGGAGAATATTCATGGTATTCAAATTTTTCAATACTCTCATCAATTATTGGATTTTCTGTAATATTTAATGTGTCAGAATTTGCCATTTTTTTATTATCAAGATAATTTTTTTAAATCATTTTCAAGAGTCTAAAATAAATTTTAATAATAAGTAATGTTTTTTTTGTAAAATTATTAGATGCAGTTGTATACGATAAAGAGTATAAGATAGAAAGAATTTATATTAATGATGATGATTTAGAAAGTGAAGATGAAGAGTAACATATATTAAAGAAATTTGTGATTACATAAAATGTCATATGTGAAATCTAAATATATTCAAGTAAATAATATTAATGGATCAAATATTCTTAAAATTAAATTTAATGAAAAAGATATTCAATTAGATGAAACAAAAGAGTATGAAATGGCCTTAATTAAATTAGAATATGTTAACTATTCAATTTCATCAAAAATAATTTGTTATTATATCTTAAATAATATTGTAGATGGAATAAATATATATGGTAATAACACTAGTGTAATCTATTCATTTTTACCAATGACTAGATCTTCAGGTGTAAGTTTTTTTGAAGAACCAAATCATAGAAGTTATTTCCCATTAAAAACAAAAAAACTTTCAGAAATGAAAGTTGAAGTAATAGATGATGAAAAAAATTCTATAGATTTTAGTAATGGAAGAATAATATTACAATTTCATCTAAGAGAAGTAAAGTAATTTTTTATATCATAAAAATGATATAAAAAAATATATGTATATATAAAATGAAGATAATTATACATGGAGCAGGTACTGTTATAAATACTACGCTTGGTCAAAATATCGAACTAGATGAAGATAAAAATTATGAAATAGCTGTATTAGGATTAGATACATATAATACTTTTCCTAATATAAATGAAACGAATAATAAATTTAGATTTAGTACAGATGATGGTGGTAATTGGGTAAATTTCACTTTTAAAAAAGGAGCATATGGACTTGCATCTTTAACTAATTACTTAGATGATCATTTACTAAAAGAAAGTCATTTATCTGGTACAATTACATTTGCAGCAGAAGTTGCTACAATGAGTACAAATATGACTCTTTCACCAAGGTTTCAAGTTGATTTTACAATTCCAAATTCAATTAGAGAAGTTTTAGGTTTTGAAAGTAAAATATATCGTGGAAGAAGTAATATATCAGAAAAAATAACTAATTTAATGCATTATAATACTATACATATCACAAATAATCTTGTTAAAGCTGTACGTGTAAATAATAAAGTTATAAATGTTATACATTCATTTTTTCCGAAAGTTGGTGTTGGATTTAAAATTACAGAAAAAGTAGATTATCCAATTTATTCAGAAATGACATCAAAATCATTTATAAATATAACAACTACTTTAGTAGATCAGGATGGGCATCTCCTTGAAAATCTAGGGGAACAATTAACTGTTAAGTACCATATTAGAGAACGTGTTGAACCTGGTGATACTGTAAGACTTTTAAAAAGAAATGAATATCTATTAAGTGAAATACTAGCAATTTTAAAAAAATATTATATTAAATAGAATAGTATTAATTTTTATGAAACTATGCAAATAATTTAAAAAATTATTGCATATATAAAAATGACAATATATTATGATACTCTTATAAATCTTTCAGAAAGTCAGAAAGAAAAAATTAAAAACGCAATTGAATCTGATACTAATGCTGTTATAAAACTAACACATCAAGATTTAAATGGTGAACATAAAATAGCTTTAACAGATTCACAAAGAAATAGAATGAAAGCAGCTTATTTAAAAAATAAGGGTATAACACTTACATTAAGTAGAGCACAACTTAAACATAACGCTAAAGTAAATGGAGGGTTTTTACCTTTGCTAGGATTAATTGGAAGTGTAATTGCGTCAAAAGTTGTTCCAGCTATCGCAACAGGATTACTGACTGGAACAGCTGCTGCAGCTGGAAGTACTATAGTTAATAAAATTGCTGGAAATGGTATTGTCTACATGAAAAAAAATGGACAAGGAATTAAAGTTAGAGTTGCAGGAAACGGATTATTTATCGATCCATGGGTTAATAGTGGTAGTTATTCAGGTAATGGATTGTATGTAAAAAATGGAAAAACATATTCACAAGTAGGTAAAGGTTTATTATTAGGTGAAAATTCACCATTTAAGAATATCCCATTATTAAATTTGTTTCTTTAGGCATCTTTAGAATCAATACATAAATAAATATATATTTTAAAAAATATATATTTTTATGAAAATGCACAATCTGTTATATAAATATTATCTAATCCACTTCTATATTTTCCATAATCTCTTTTAGAAGACAAATCTATAACAGCAAATCCATGCGGTTCAGACCAAGCCTCAATACAAAATTTTTTAAACTCAGCTTTCGGCATGTCACTTGAAACATGTTTATTATAAATGTGATTTAAATTCTTTGCATCTTGCGGAAACAAGCATATAAAGTTTGCATTTTCTCTTATCGTTCTCTTAGGTATATCAAAATAATTTTGAGCTAAGTAGAAACAATCAACATTACTATGTCTTCCTCTTATATAGTACTTTTCACACTTGTTTTGCTTTGTTAATTGTAAATCATCGAATATCATTAAATTATTTTTATTAGAGTTGAGATCTTCAGGTTCTGGTACATCATCTGCTGTTTCAAAAAACTTGCATTCAATATCTGTTCTCTCTTTTAAATTTTTTGAAATGTCTTCAATAATAAGCTTAGGATTAACATTCATTTTTTCTATTTTATTTTGTAAATTAAAAAGTTCAATAATAACCTCTTTTGGTAATTTTTTTTCAAATGAACTTTTTAATATTTTATATTCTGGTTGAAAAAGAGATTTCCCAAAAACTTGTAAATTATTATAATCTAACCAACCAGGTCTTAAAAGTAAGTTTAATAATAAAGTTGTTTTTCCACAACCTGACTTTCCTACAATAATTCCTCTTATACTTTTAGGTAATAACTTATTATTATTACGTTTACTTCTATTTACATTCCACGATAAATCTATGACATCCATTTTTTTATTTATAAAGAAAATTATTTACATCATTTTTTAATTTAAGTTAAAATGTTTTCTTTATAAAAAATGTCGATAAACAAAATGGGATATACTCAAAATTATATTGGACAAAAAATAAGTATTTTTTTAACTATTAATATAGATTCAGAGCATCATGCAGTAGTTAATAATGGAAAATGTAAAGTATTTGCTGAACGAGATTTTATAATAAAATCAAATTCATACAAGTGTATTGATTCAAAATGTGGAGTTAGAATAGATGAAGGGTATGCGTTAGTTGCACTATCAGAAGAATATAAGCCATATTTATACTTGTTTAATTCTGTAATAGCATGCTCTACTGATAATATTGTTGTAACTTTATATAATAATGATGAAAAAGAAGATAAAAAAATTAAAAAAGGAAGTTGTTTATTCTATATCTTATCTTATAACGGAGTTATAAATAGAATTAATTATATATCTAATTCTTATGGATCCAAAGGATCTAACGAAGCTAAAAATGTAAAACCAAAAGAAAAGCCACAAAGTGATAAAGACTCTGTTAAATCTATATTATCAAGTATAGATAAAGACAGTGATAGATCACAAAGTAATCAAAACTCTGCTAAATCTATATTTAATTTTGGTAAATAAAGGTATAGGAGATTTAATTATCATAAACATAATTTATTAAAGTAATTTAAAAGAAATGTTTCTTTATAAAAAAGAATGGATTACAATAATGAGGAATGTAAAAGTATTTATCCAGATATAAGTCAGTTTAGAGTTTATCCAACTGCACCAATACTATCTATTGATCAAAGATATCGACTAGATAAGATAAGTGAAATTCAAGGTAAAATCGAATGTGAAAAAAGTAAAAGAGCTATGTTAAGTAAAAAGTATCATAGAGCTTCAAGAATAATTTCAGTTGTTGATAATTCATTACTAGCAACTACTATGACACTTGGAGCTGTTGGTATCGGTTTTTTAACAACAATAGTTGGAACACCAGTAGCTATTGTATGTGAAGGTACGGCATTAGGTATTGGTTTATTATCATTAATAGGATCACAAGTTAATAAAAAATTAAACTTAAAAGCAGAAAAGCATGAAAAGATTAAAGTATTAGCCGATGCAAAGTTAAATACTATAAGTGATCATATTTCTAAAGCTTTAAAAGATGGTAAAATCGATGATGTAGAATTTACAATGATACTTTCAGAATATGAAAAGTTCCAAAAAATGATTGAAGAAATTATAACAAAATCTAAAAATGAAATTGATGAACAAACTAAACAATCAATATTTAATGAAGGAAAAGAAAAAGCTATGAAAGAGGCGATGGAATTGTTAGAGAATAGGTTTAATAAAAATCAAAATATTAGCAAAATAAATATTAATTAATAAAAATATTAATTAAATCATAATTTATGTTCAAGTAAAACATAAATTATGTTCTTTATTATAAAAATAATTTAAAAAATTATTGCATATATAAAATGCCATTTTTAAAAGCTACAGATCCTGATAAAAGAGATCAAATGATTAAAGAATTAATAGAATTAAGAAAAAATATATATCATAATACATTGAATGAAAGATTAGGTGTTGATGATTTAGAAATTAACTTTAAAAAATTGTATAAACCACTAATAGATAGTCAATCTGGAATAAAAGAAGGTTTATCTAAATTAGAAAATAAAGCTGATCAATTAGCTAATACTTTTTCAAGCTATCCTGCTTTACTAGATTCTGAAACTAAAGCAATTACAGAGCAAGGAAAAATTATACCGCCTGAAGTTGTAAATAACATGACATTAGGAGCTATCGCAACAGAATATTTAAAGTTGTATACTGCTAAAAATAGTAAAAAAGTATCAGATGACATATTTGGTATACATTACAATGAAGATGATAAAAAATTTTACATTGGTAAAAAACCAATAACTATTGAAGGTAATGATATAACTATTGAAGATAAAAAATACATTGGAACACCTGGTCTTTGGGAGATCATTGTAAAATCTCATCCTGATAGATATACTAAC